AAAGCAGAGTCTAGATTCTCTGGTGCCTCACGAGGGGCCTGGCAGTTGGACAGCTTCCATCTGTTTCAGGGACACTGCCAGAGCCGGCTCTGCCCCGGGCCGTGGTGTTGGCTTTGTCAAGGCGTGAGAATGTGCAGCCGCCCCCGGCAGTGGCTGTGGCAATCGCTTCTCTGCTGGGAGGGGTGGCTGGAACAGGTTGTGCTGTGCACATGGCACTGCTGGGCCTGTGACCCTGACTGCAAAGGCGGTGCTGTCCCACTGCAGTTGACAGAGGTAATCGGCATGCATTGAAACGTTGAAGTGCTACCCCAGTCCCTGCTAAGGGAGGCCCATTAGAAACTGCTCCACTAAGCAGCTGGAGTTCTGCAGCAAGACTAGCTTCTTCCCAGCTCCACATCTTGTCTAATCTCCGCCTGCTGCTCTGATAGCTCCTGTCAGAGCCATTGCTACCTGGGGAGAGCAAGGAAGCTTATTACACGGTTTCCTCCCTGGGCATGATGAATCCCTGGTGGCCATCCTCAGTGAGACAGCCCCATGCAGATGAGAACAATACCCGGCGACCATGGAAGTGTGCGCAGGGGTTCAGCAGTGTCTCCGCTGTTCAAGAAAACAGCTGGACTTTGCCCCATGTTGACCCCACCACTGCTGAGCCAGCCTTGTGCAACATCATCTGTTCCTCAACTCTGCCATGGGCTCTGTGCCCTGCATGTGCCCAGCCCCTGTGCAGTGGTGCACGCAGCCGTGGCCACCTCCAGTTATTGTAACCCATTTGACCAGTAACTGTAAGTTATCCTCTTCATGGCCCAGTGCAGCTGTTAGCCTGCTACCCACATCTGTTCTCCAAAGAAGAGGGATGTGGTCAGGTCTGGGTGGACCTGACATAACTCCCACACCCGATATGTTGTTGCTGGCCTTCAATTTTTCGCACTGATAGTGTGAATCTCAGTTTCCTGAGACTGTTTGGCATGTTTCCTAGAAAGGGAATCCTGTGCTGAGAGGAGGTATTTTAGTCAATTTCTGGTTCCAGGAGCTTGCCCGAGTAGAGATCGTTTTAATCGTAGACAGGCTGCTATGAAAGCAGCAGCTGCTTGCTGTGCTGTTTCCACTCTGCTTCGTAAGGTCACTAATTATAGTACTGTAACAGCAGATGTGAAATGACCATCTTGTAAACCTAGCCATGCCTCAAACCAACATGAAACTGGGTGTCATGGGGGAGGCTTGTTCATTTAGTTGGCCAGGAAGTGTAGTGTACAGAGCTGGCTTACTCCCTGCGCTCAGCCCGTGTGAGGTTCAAGCTTTAGAATACAGCAGTCTCCCTGCTCTGTGTGCACCAAGGTAGCTTCCAGAAGCAGTGTACTGGGTACTGTCATTTGATTCAGGCCATGCGTGTAGCATGCAGTTCTGTTCAAGTGCAGTGTGTTTACCTAATATTAGAAGCCACTTTCTTCACCTCCTTTGGTCATTGTCTTCCTGCAACTCCTATGGACTTGAGCAGGAGTTCCACAGGTTTGGGTTTTACTTGCTGATTGGGAACACTTTCTTAACTTGGTGGAGAAGCAGGCAATAGACACAGTTCAGTGCCTTACAACAGGTTCATGATGTAGGAAGTTCTGAAAAACATGTTTAAATGGCTACTTTGGGCTTGGTTAGCAGCTTATGGAGAGCAGTACTGCTGAAGAATTGGGTATGTCTAATTCATACCACTTAATCATAGAAATCATGGAAAATTAGGGTGGAAGGGACCTCAGGAGGTCACATCTAGTCCAACCTCCTGCTCAAAGGAGGACCTGCCCCAGCTAAATCATCCCAGCCGAAGCTTTGTCTAGCTGGGTCTTGAAAACCTCCAAGGATGGAGCTTCCACCACCTCTCTGGGTAATCCATTCCAATGTTTTACTACCCTCCTAGTGAGAAAATTCTTCCTAATATCTAGCCTCAACTTCCCTTGCTGCAACTTGAGAACAACTGCTCCTTGTTCTGTCGTCTGCCTCCACTGAGAACAGTCCAGCTCCATCCTCTTTGCAACCCCCTGCAGGGAGCTGAAGGCTGCTATTAAATCCCCGCTCAGTCTTCTCTCCTTCAGACTAAATAAGCCCAGTTCCCTCAGCCTCTCCCCATAAGTCCTGTCCCCCAGCACCCTCACCATTTTTGTTGCCCTCCTCTGGACTCGCTCCAATTTGTCCACGTCCTTTCTGTACAAAACTGGACACAGGACTCCAGATGTGGCCTCACAGTGCTGAATAAAGGGGAAGAATCACTTCCCTTGACCTGCTGGCTACTAATGCAGCCCAGGATGCCATTAGCCTTCTTGGCAACAAGGGCGCGCTGCTGGCTCATATTCAGCTTATTGTTCACTGTCACCCCCAGGTCCTTTTCTGCAGAGCTGCTGCCCAGCCAGTCGGCCCCCAGCCTGCACCGGTGTGGGGGATTGCTGTGTCCTAAGTGCAGGACTTTGCACTTGTCCCTTTTGAACCTTATAAGATTGCTTTTGGGCCAATCCTCCAATTCGTCTAGGTCACTCTAAATCCTAGCCCTACCCTCCAGTGTATGTACTGCTCCTCACAGCTTGGTGTCATCTGCAAACACGCCGAGGGTGCACTCTATACCATCTTCCAGGTCATTGATGAAGACATTGAACAAAACCGGCCCCAAGACCGACCCCTGGGGCACGGCACTTGATACCAGCTGCCAACTGATGTTGAGCCATTGATTATTACCCTCTGAACCTGACAGTCCAGCCAGTTTTCTATCCACCTTACAGTCCATTCATCCAGCCCATACTTCCTTAGCTTGCGTATGAGAATGCTGTAGGAGACCGTATCAAAAGTTAGATGAACACCTTGCTGGGGTCATTTGACCCCAGTACTCTTTCCTGCCATGGCAGGGGGTCAGACTAGATGATCTGCTAAGGTCCCTTCCGACCCTAGAAACTATGAAACTATGAAAAGCCTTGCTAAAATCAAGGTACGTTGAATCCACCAGTCTCCCCATATCCACAGAGCTTCTGAGAAGGCTGAAAACAAATCCGACTTGTGTTGGTATAATTCCTCAAGGTTAAATAAAAATGTTTAGTCAGAAAAGCAGTATGTAGATATGACATGTTTCACAGGTTAGCTCAGTATTTATATGTAAGCATACATGAATCAAAGCCATTCCCAAAACTGCTGTAGGTGGGAAGCAGGGACAGGTGACTGAGATGGTGAACACACCAAAATCTTTGGTAGTAGGTGACTGAAATGAAGCAGCCATAACAACACTAAATGGGGACAAGTACAAGAAATCCTGGCTTGCTGCATTCCTCCAGTAATAAAAGGGAAAGCTACCTTGCCCCAGGTCTATTCCTATGGGCTGGACTAGTTAGGAGTGGAGGGTCTGTCTAAAATGGGTGGGCAAAATGTGGCCTGCCAGGCCATTCTATCCAGCCTGCGGGACCCCTAAAAAAATGTAGAAAGTTAATATTTATCTGCCTCTAGCTGGCTGTCATGCAGCCCTCAATTCCTTGCCAAAACTCAGTAAGTGGCCCTCCGCCTGAAATAATTGCCTGCCCTTGATCCAAAAGAACTGCTCACATTAAAGCAAGAACTTGCTTTCTCCCCATGTCCTGCCACCTGCTAAGGAAAGAAGATAACTCAGGACAGCTGTGATGGGTGCATGTGCCCTGGGGGCTGACTCTGGAAGTCACGTGTGCTGTCACCTCAGGGACTGGGTGTGCAGCACAAGTGCTGGGTGGCTGAGGAGCCATGCATCTCTCGCGCGTAGTCAGCGGTTCAGGTAGGAATTCGGAGGGAGATGGACTTGGCGTGCTGCTGCAGGGTGCAGTGGGAGGATTCTGGCCATGGCACCAGTATGCTGTGCAAGTCCAGTGGTCACCGCTGTTCAGCAAGAGAAGAACCAGTTTCAGCACTGCTTTATTAAACCATGATTGAGTATCTGGAAAACTGTTGATATGAGTTTACCGTTACCTTTGTGCGTCAGGATAAACTGCCCAAGTCATGCCCAAAGAGCCCAGGGTTTGGGACTTTTCTTTTCTCCCCCAGCAATGGAATTAGTTATTCATAAGGAAAACCAAGGTTTTAGTTTTTCTGTACTTTCCAGAGTAAATTCCCATGCCAGCTCACATTGCACTCCAGTACACTTGTGTCTTATACCGCACGCAAATGCGAAGCTAGAATTCAGCCTGTAACTAGGCAGAAGTGTGTCCGCTTTGCAGCTGTGGAGTATGAGGCAAAGCAGGAGCTGTGCCTGATGTGATGAGTCAGTGCATCTGGACAGAAAATTTCACAGAAGTCCCAGGTCATACAGAAAAAAATCTGCATTGGCCCTGAGATGTATCAGCAGTCTTGCAGAATTCTGCTTACCTTTTTCATAGCCCCCTAATTAATCCAAGGGCCAGTAGATTTTGTGCTTGGAGAAAACTTGCAAAACAGTAACTCACAGTCTCCAGCTGTGTTCTCTTCAGCTACTGTAAACCCAAAATGCACAAACAAGCCATAATCAGTATAAACAGAGCTGCTCTGCAGAGCTCTTGGTCCTGGCTCAGCAAAACCTTTTGTTTCCCACATAAAAGCAGCCCAGCCTTGTCTACAGCTGGTTACCTGAGCTTAGGGAGCCTCACCCAAAGAGGACTCAGAAAGGCCCTGTTGGAATTTAACTCTGCAGTCTCCAGGCTCCTGTCTGATTTAATCCTTGTAGGTCCCAGTTGGGGTGGGTGATTCAATATCTGAGGGGTCCCAAAAGCCTTGTGTTCCTTGTCCTAAATAACTAAAATGCCCCTTGGCTGTACGCTTCTCCCTGGTGAGTGGCAGCAGACTGGGTCACTGTGGCACTAAAACAGAAAGATCAGTAGTACTGCCAAGTGAGGAAGGAAGGAGCACTGTCAGGGCAGGTGGGGAAAAGCTCTGGGGAGGATCTTCTGGGTTCCTCTGCCCCTTGCCAGGTGAACGCATCCAGAGAAATCCTTTGTTTTCTGTGCCATGCTGAATAGTTTGCTCTTGTTTTGCAGAGCCCCTGAAATCATCTTGGGGTTGCCGTTTTGTGAAGCTATTGACATGTGGTCGCTGGGCTGCGTGATAGCTGAGCTGTTCTTGGGTTGGCCTCTCTACCCAGGAGCTTCAGAGTATGACCAGGTAAGAGCCTAGTGGGGTGGGGGAGATGCTAGCGAAATCATCATGATCTTCCTTTTAGACCTCGGAAATCTAACCGAATTCAACTTCCACTTCTGTGGAGCAGACAATATGCGTGGTCTTGAACTCAGGCAGCCTTTTGCCTGTGGTGATGGAAGCCGCTTCACTGTCTCCCTCTCCCTGTGATCAGAAAGTGCAGAGGCCCCTCTGCATGTCTTAAAAGTTCAGGTTAACCTCTTCTTTCAGTTTATGACACAAACGGCGGTGGCCTTCCCATCAGAGGAGAGGTGGACCAGGTGTGTCGCGGGTGGAACACATTCTGCTGTTCAGAAGCAACAGTTTTGGTACAAAAGCAGCTGCTCCGGGGGGGGGCAGCAGGCCTGTGATTCCTGTCGCATTCATTCTCACAGAAACCATGTGCTGTCATGTGGAGCGTGTCCCCAAGCAATCTCCAAACTACATGACAGGCGTCTCTCGAACTAAGGCTTCTTGCAGCATATACCTAGCATTACCTGGCTGCCCGTGAATGGGGAAACAATGCTAACCAGAACAAGGCTTTTCTGAGTATAGCTTTCCCAGCACGCTTTTTCTGTGGTGGCACCAAGTGATAAAACTCAATGTGATTTCCTCTATTCAGTGGAAGAGACCCTTCCCAAACCATTTTGAACGTGAAGTTGTGCACCTCTCCTCACCCCTGCACTTTTCCAGAGGAAATGCAGTGGTACATTAATGACACACTGAGTTAAAAAATAACTAAGCTGCAGGCTGGTGGTTTCCTTGCACAGGAAGATTCATCTGGTTCTGAGAATCTTATCATAAAGGTCTGGAATTGCTTGGGAGGGGGAAATTGAGTTTTAGGGTTCATATCTGACACTCACGACAGAATAAATCAGGAGCAACTCCATTATAAGCCACTAATGTAAAACCTGTATAAAATCCAAGACTGGTCTGCGATCCGAATGAAGCCTCTATTAATCATTGGTACAAAAATCCAGAGATGTTGTTTTCCTAAATACACGAGGAAGATTTCT